ATTCTTCCAAACATGGCTTTAGATAGTGAACTTTACCAGCTTATTTATGAAGCTCATTTATAAAAAGTTGAGTCAACAACCTCTGAATTTTAGAGCTATGGTCTAATGTGAAATATTACATTCTGCGTGACAGATCTGGTAATGATATTAATCATTGCCATTTAGCAGTCCCTCCTGTGAGCATTGATTGTGCTTTATTTAGTCAAGATTCTCTTGGTTGCAAGGACAAAATCGCAATTTAGATGTCTTAAGCAGTTGGGTGCAGTGGCACATGCCTATAATCCCAGCAGCATGGGAGGCTGAGATAGGAGGATCACAAGTTCAAGGACAGCCTTAGCAATTCAGTGAGGCCCTAAGTGGGACCCTGTCTCCAAATAAATAAAAAACAAAAAAGGGCTGGGGATTTGGCTCAGTGGGTTAAATCTCCAGATTTTATACTGTAAATAAATAAGTATCCTAAGCAAAAAGGGATTATTTGGAAAGATATTATTGTGTCTTGATTTGAAGGAAGTTGAACAATCTAGCTGTGGGAAGAGGAGTGTCTCAACTGAACTTGTTATGCAGCTGCAGCCCAGGAATGAAGCACTACTTCATATCAGCTAAGTCTGTATCTCTTTATGGGCTGCATTAGCTGGAGACCAGCTTCCTCCTGTTCCTGGGGAACCTCATTGCTATCTAACTCAGATAGATGAACCCTCTTTCCCAATCCAGGTCTGTAAATATCACAGGAAAACTCTGATTGGCCCAGCTTGAGCCTCCTCTGCCCTTTGGACAGTGGACTCTAAAGGAAACATTGAGAAAAGATTGGCCGGGGGAGAAAGAATACTGGGCCAACAATTTCAAAGGTGTTCACTCCCTAGCCCTGTGTTCCTTCCTAAACAAAATGTTTTTGATATAGGTGATGTTATTTTCTGTTCTAGAAATTATGAAACTGTCCCTCTAGAAGGTTAGTGGTTTAACAGAGATCATACTATTTCATGGCAAGGCCAAGCATCAAATCCCAGTGCTAAAAAAACTCTTGCTTTAACTAATACAGTGCATTGTTTTCCATGCAATAAATAGAAAAGAACTAGCAGGTAGATGGGAAGGTGGAAAATAGAAATGATAACAGAGTGATGAAAAATTTGTAAGTTTCTTCCTAGTAACCTTGGATTTAGCATCTGTTTTTTTTTTTTTCAAAGAACAGTCTAAAGCCATACCATTTCTTCTGAAAATGAACAACCTTTTCTCCTTCCTGCAGTGAAAACAAATAGGATCTCAGTTTAAAATCTCTGAAAGACTGCCTGTGGACTCACAGAATAAAGACAATATAATTCTCTGATAGAGCAAACTTCAAAATTAGATGCATTTTAAGACTAGAGGCAATGTTGATTTCTTAAAGCATTTCCATTGGTTCAGAGCCCCTTTATCTACACAGGAGGCTAACAACAGGTCTTCAGAAAATAAAAGTATGGAGGGGAGAAGAAAGCAGTAGAGCCTGGGCCAGATCCCATACAGCTTATCTTCTTTGAACATGATCTAGTGTGTCTTGGGAGCCTGTTCAGAGGCTCCTTCAGAAGGCTAGGAAAATTAAGAGTAAGGGATACACTTAATGATGCACAGAAAAAACAGCTACTGTAATTGGTTTTGCTGAGACTTGGAAGCTAGCTCAGTGGATTGTTTTTCATATCCTGAATGTAGACTTTGAGTTAAAGAGGGCCACCATAGAAAGTGCTGCCTAATAACACCCTCAGATGCAGGCTGCAGCCACACATCGGTGCATGATTCAGAAAGTCCACGTAGAGGGAGAAATTCAGAGTAGATTGAAAGCAGATATTTTGGGGCAATTAGTTCTGTTTTTAGTCCACATCTAGTTTGGAATGGAAAGTAGCTACATTTTATTTTAAAGAGTGTCTAGGGACAATGCCAGAATCAATCTTTCAGCACATTTTCTGATTACCCAGGTAGTAAAAGTATTTTAGTATTTTTTAAAAATAAAATCTTTTTATAGTTCTTGTGATTCTTCCAATTACAAAATGTTCTTTTCTGTGTTATTGATTATTAGAGGTTAGATATCAAAATTAGGGTGTCTATGAGAATGGACTTTCTTGATAGAATGAATACTTCAAGGAACTTTTTGACTCTGGAAAATGAATTATATTAAATTTCACCAACTTTAGTACATTGTTATAAAAAGCAAAAGTATTCCAACCTGAAAAAAAAAAATCTGTAATCTGGCAGACTGTTTATCTTTCTTAAAGGCTATGAAATGTAAGATTGTGTGAGTCTTATTTGTTTGCTGGAGGAAAAAGGTGCTACTTTCAGTGGAGACAGTTCTGGTAGGATGCCAGATTGAGAATAAGGGGGGAATAGAGATAGAACTCTTTCTCTTAGGAAGGATGGTGTGTCCTTGTTTAGACTTAGAAATCTAAGTATAGACCTTAGCCCTTTCTGTCTTCCTGGCTGAATGTCATGTGGTCGGGGTGTTTGGCTATGTCAGCACGTCACTATAACATGACATGCAATATCACAGAATTTTATGCAAGCCATGACCAAGAAGGTCAGTCTTTTCTAGTGGTCATTTGCCTGCAAGGTCTCCAAGGTACTTTTTCATATAACCCAACAGTTTCTAGAAGTGTTCAGTGGATTTAGAATTTACTGACCCCCTTGGAGCATCTAGGGCATTAGACTCCATATTAGCCAAATAGATTATATCAGTAGCAAGTGTGATGCTGTGATTTTGAACTAATGCTTGTAATTGATCCCGGAAATTAGGGGGAGTGATGGGTGTCAGCCCACTTCATACAGAGCAATAATCTCAGCATTGCCACTTGTATGATTGTCTCATTTTTTTTTCTTTTCAGTTCTGAAGATTGAACCCAGGGTCTTGCTAGGCAAGCACCCTACCACTGAATTACACCACCAGTTCTTTTTAAAATGTATTCTGAAAGAAGTTCTCACTAAATTGACCAAGCTGTCCTCCAACTAGCAATCTTCTTGCCTCAGCCTCCTGAGTAGCTGGAATTACAGGCATGCAACACTGTCCCTGGTGGTATTTTAAATCAGTTGGCAAAAATTTGTGGAATTCCAGCTATGCTGTAGCTTTGGCTGATGCTGTAGGCAAGGTGACCATATAGCTTATTAACAGCATCACTTTTGACAGTGAGAGGGAATTGTTAGTAATATACTGAGTCAGTAGTCATTTACTGTGACTGTCCTGGCTAAACTAGGATGGATGAGTGCTTTAATTATAGGACACATTAGAAAGCTATTCATATCCTTGGTGTATACTCAAAGGATTATATAACTCTTGTTAGACAGCTAATCCTTACACTTTAGACAATGCAAGAACATTATTAAAAAGTCCTTCTAAAATTATTCCATTGTACCTCCAGCAATGAGTTTCTCTTGTACTGATTTATATAACAGACATTTATAGGCATCTCTTATCTTTAAAAATTACTCCCTTTAGCACTGGGATATAGCTCAGTGGTAGAATACTTGTCTTGCCTGAGCAAGTCCCTGAGTTCATTCAGTACCCAGTTCAAAAAAAAAAAAAAATTCCTTTACTCATCTATTACCCCATTTTCTTGTTTTCTCATAGCAAAAACTTGTTGGAAAAGTAGTTTATAGTAGGCATAATGCAAACTTTTTCTGTTAAAGACCATATAGTAAATGTTTCAGTTTTTGTGGACTGTATGGTCTCTGTGGCGACCATCCTCACTAGGGTGAAAAGTAATCATAGATAATACCTGAATGAGCCATTTCCACCCCAAAAAACATTTACAAAAGCAGATAGCAGACTGTATTTGGCCTACAGGTCATCATTTGCTTGTCCCTGCTCTGTATCACTGTTTCTCTCCATCATGGCACTCTCTACTTCCATCCTCCTGCACTGCACTGAAACTGCTCTTGTCAAGGTCATCAGCATGCAACTTCCTTGTTGAGTTCAGTTGCAGTTTTCTATCTTAATCTTACATGAATTTTCTACAACATAAGATACAATCACTCCTTTCCTCCTTTAAACACTTTTGTTTGGCTTCTGTGACATCATTGTGCTTGGTTTTCTCTCATGTTGCTCATGATTTTCCTCTTGCATTTTTGTTCTTTTCTTTTGTTCTTTTCTTCTTGACTTCCCAGTGTTAATGCCTGAGGGCTCAATCCCCAGCTTTCTTGTCTTCTTTTCCCTTCCCTGGCATATGGGACATATTCAGTATATACTTGTTGAATGAGTGAAGAAGTGAATGAAATGCTGCCTGGTGTGGCTGGCACTCCAGTTGCCAAGGAACAGTCAAGGAACAGTGCAGTGCATGTGTTCTACAAGTATGTAGCACTAACACCCTCCCAACTCCCTCCTGTTGCTGTCCTTACTCACAAAAGATACTATGGGTTGTCTTAGTTTTAATGTGTAGCATCCATATTTATAGGTTTTTATTTCCATAGACACATTTGGCTCACCATTCAAGTGTACCTTTCTAATTTCATTTCATTGGTATTTCAAGTGCAACACTATAGTTGTCTTCAAGGTTTGCTACAATACTGGAACCCCCATACACAGTGCTGATTTTTTTTTCTAAGACACAGTCTCCTGGAACTTTTCAAATCCAGAGCCCTCCCTATCCCTAACTTAGAGCCACCTCTATCTCTTTACAGGTTTTGAAGGTTATTGTGCGTGTGCGTGCACGCATACACACATACACACACACACACACACACACATTGTGCATGTCCTGTTTATTTGTTGTCATCAATAGCATGTAATCACCAAAATAGAGCAAAATGGCTTCGTTTTTAAATTAAAACTTTATGATGCAGATTGGTAAGAGTCCGAAGCATTTGCCTATATCTAAATTCTAGACTCTTATTTCACTACTATTTTGGTACAGTAAAATTGTCAGCATGTGTACAGTGAATCAAGATAGCTTTATGGTAATTTTCTTTTGAGACTGGAATTGATTATGATGTAGTTATTGGTGCTGTCTTGCATTGCTTCTTGTTTTTCATTTATTTCTCTCATCTAGGCACTTGAAGAGGCCCAGAAAGCTATTCAACAACTCTTCGGCAAAATCAAAGATATCAAAGACAAAGCAGAAAAATCAGAACAAATGGTGAGTTTAGGTTTCCTCCTGGCTTTTTTGCATCCGCAGAGGAAGTTAGTTTCTCTCTCAGTCATGGTAATTAATGGACTTTTTCCCCCACTTCCTGCCAGCCACAGTCATCCACATCTCTTAGGCAAGTCCCTGTGAGTGCATTATGGACTGACTCAAGGGGAGCTGCTAGACAATGGTGACTCACTGTCCCTCCTGCACTACATTTTCATTCCCATATTTAAATAGGAAAAGTTTTCTTCTTTTCCCCAAAATAGTTTCCTAGTCATTTTGGATGCTTTTTCTCTAGCATTTGTTTATATCACATATTTCTCAATCAAGATACATGATGATTTGTAACTTAATAGCACACTATAACTGGTCCTGGATCTGGGAGATGGGGTGCACCCTGCTCAGTTTACATACATATAGTTTTAATTAAGTTCTTGTTCCTCAAATTTGTGGTCCCTTGGGATGTTCTCAGATGGCCACTCTGCTGACCAAAGATCAGCAGTCACCACTGTTATTCCATGGAGACACTGAGATGCAATCTCCTGGATTGAAATTTTAAGTAATATGAGGCATCTGGATTTCAGTTTCTTCAACCATAAAATCTATGTCAACAAGGTTATTGTGAGAATTAAATATATGAAGAGAACTGAATAGAGTACTTGGGACTTGGATTTATGGTCCTTTCCAAAGAGTGAACTACACTCAGCACCTACCAGGGGCTGTTGAAGTGTGATTATTAGGTGACACGTCAAATGCAACTTTTGCTAGAGTTTATTGTACTCATTTTTTGCTCATAAGTCATCTTCTGATTCTAATTTGCTATTCTGGACTATGCTTCCTCTTCCAGATGGGGCATGCAATGACCTGTCATTCAAGTAAGCTGCGTCTGGCATTATTAGATGTCTTATTTGCTTCCCTGGACAGTGCTTTGCTAAGGGGAAGAGGAGGAAGGAATGAGGAGAGAACTGGTATTTGTTGAGTTCTTTTAATGTGCCAAGCATGGTGCCACTTCCTTTTTTTTGGCACCAGGGGTTGAACCAAGGGGCACTAGACCACTGAGCCACATCCCCTGCCCTTTTTTGTATTTTATTTAGAGACAGGGTCCCATTGAGTTGCTTAGCATCTCGCTTTTTGCTGAGGTTTTGAATTCGAGATTGAGTTGCTTAGCATCTCGCTTTTTGCTGAGGTTTTGAATTCGAGATCCTTCTGCCTTAGCCTCCTGAGCTACTGGAATTACAAGCAGGTGCCACCATACCTAGGGTGCCACTTCCTTTCCCCCCCCCCCAAGAACAAATGAGGTTTATTCCAGAAAAGCAAGGTCAGTGTAACATTCAAAACCCAATATTAACCATGTGAACAAAACAAACAAAATCAGGCTCCACTTATGCTATCCTCCCCTATATTATGTCCAAAAATGGACTCCCCACATATCCAGAGCAATGAGACTCATTTCATTTACTTCCTTTCTCTCATTCACACTCCTTCATTGCCAAATCAGGGTCTAAAAACTATTGTTCAGTAGTTATCCCATTTATCTATTTTTACTTCAGTTGCCTGTACTTTTGGGTCCATATCTAAAAAATAATTGACCACACTGATATCATAGAGGATTTCCTCTTATTTTCCTCCATCTATTTTACAGTTTGGATCTTATATTGAAGTCTTGATTTCACTTTGAGTTAGTTTCTATGAATGGTGTAAGACACAAGGTCTTATTTCATTCTTCTGTGTGTGAATAACCAGTTATCCCAATGCAGAAATTGTCTTTTCCCGTTGTGTCTTCCTGGAATCTTTGTCAAAAATCAATTGATTTGTAATGTGTGGACTTATTTCTGGACCCAATGCCACTTCTTTTTTACATGCAATCTAACTTAGCCCTCCTGATGATCTTATGGACTAGGTTTCATTATCATTATTATTTTGATGATTATCATTTTATAGATTAGAAAACCTAGACTTGGTAAGGCTAAGAAGCTTGGCCTGTGACACAGAGTTGAAAAGTGGTAGAGCTGGATTTAGCCCTAGACCTGCCTAACTCTAAAATCTAGCATATCTTGTTTGGATGCCCATGGACAACAAACAGGGTAAACTAACCATGAGTAATCAGTTCTGCAGAATCGGCTCATGTAAGTTTGACCTTAACCCCCCCTGCTCTACCAATGAGGCTTGTGTTTAGGGAAAAGCAAGTAGCTCAGTTTGTTTAAAGCAGCACAGGACATGTAATGGGAATAAAGGAGATCCTGGGAATGCAGAAACTGGCCAGCTCTGGTGAGTGCAGTGAGAAAGTAAGGGATAGATTCTTGAGATTAGGCAGAGGAAGAATAGTCAGGATTTAATGGTTGATGAATAGTGCAGAGAATGAGAAGGGACACTAATGACTATGACTTTAAACATAGCAGTTAAAGTCCCTAATGATGTTAGGATTGAAGCTAAAACCATCTACAACTAAAAAAAATTTTAAAAAAAGAATGTTTCTCAGTTATCATGGTCTTGGTTTAGTCAAAGAGTTCATTTAGGTGTCAGTAAAATTGGAGGACTTCTCCACCTTCTCTGTTGAATCCACTTTTCCCAGTGACTGAAGTACACCTGTTTTCCCAGATAGAGTCTCTTTCTCTCAGGCCTGCTGGAGCAGCACTCTCAGAATTTTATTCCCCAGATTGTCTTCTTGCTCCCTAAAGCCCCTCTTCTCTTACAATGCTCCATGTTAAGCTCATGTTACAGGAGTTAAATTTGAGATTTGAAAGCCTTTTTTTTTTTTTTTTTTTTTGCTGCAGACCAACCAATAAACCCTAATTCTATTAGTAAAGACCATCTCAGTAAAACTAGCTGCCTCACTCTCCATTTTGTGCTGAACCCAGTAGCTACAGGCAGAAGTCACACTGTTTTGACCTTATTCAAGAGGAGATGTGCTGGGCTGGGGTTGTGGCTCAGCGGTAGAATGCTTGCCTCACATGTGTGAGACCCTAGGTTCGATCCTCAGCACCACATAAAAATAAAAATAAAGTTATTGTGTCCATCTATAACTAAAAACAAAAAAAAAGGAGATGTGCTGAACTTGGCTCCTGCACCCTATAAGCTCTTTGGGTCATTTTGTTGAGGGTGACAAATAAAATTAACTTATTTTTCACCACTGAGGGTTTTGTAACCCTGTTGTATAAAGTCTGAAGAAATGCCAAATTAAATTTAAAGGGGCAGATTAGAAATTATTTTGATTTTGAATTGTGAGGATATTTGTGATTTCTCCAGGGCTATCTGAAGGTTTTTTTCCTTGCTTCATGTGCATTATTTTCTTGTGGAGTTGCTCATAGAAGTGTTAAAAACTTTCTTAACATTCTTCTTTTCTGTTGTTTTTCAATATTTAGGTCAAAGAAATCACCCGTGATATCAAGCAATTAGATCATGCCAAACGCCACCTGACCACCTCAATCACGACGCTAAACCACCTGCACATGTTGGCAGGTGGTGTGGATTCCCTCGAGTAAGCAATGTAGACTTCTCTTTGGGGCCCACAAGAAACCCATCACATAAAGAAAATGGCTTCATAGGTTTACTCTCTTCCCACCAGGAAAGGCTCCCTATCCTGCCCACTTTCTGTCCTATTCAGTCACCATTTTTTGCTTCTATTGTTCAAAATTTTACAAAAAAGTGAGGTGCAGTTGAATCTGAGGGGGATCCAGAAAGTACGTGAGAGTGATTCCAAGAATGGGATTCACACGTGAGCTATACCATTATGGCAGATAGGGTGATTCAGGTCCAGAATCACTCCCAGTAGCCTCTGTTTTAGAAAGTTTTCCTGCTGGTATTGGACTGAGTTGCACAGTCTGTCACCTGACACCTTTGGAAACAGATCTTTGATGTATCATCAACCCACCTTTTTTTTTTTTTTCTTTTTAAGATTGGGTGCTATTGTGTTGCCCAGGTTGGTCTTAAACTCGTGATCTTCCTGCTTCAGCCTCCCACTTTTTAAAAAATTTTTCCAAAGACAGAAGCTTCCTGTCTGGCTGATAGAGGGAATGAGACATGAGTACCTTAAAAATAGGTTTGAAAGTAGGAGCTGGTTATTTACTGCAAAGGATCCATCCAAATCCTCCTTCTCTAGCATTTCAGTTTACCTCTACAGTCTGTGTCAGGCTGAGAATTTCCTCTGATCCAGCCTCAGTGTAATTTTTTAAAGGACAGAAAAAGAGCCTCTTCAAAGAAATGTTGATACAGTATCCAAAATCTTGGGATGATGGGAATAAGGGAATGCATGGAAGGAAAGAAGAGAGAGCAGACTCCTTTGGAGCACTCCTGGGTATGGCCTGGACATCAAAGAATCCCTAGTCTTTTCTCGTGCAAGGAGTGATCAGCCAGAAAACAAGTCAGCAGGACTGGAAGAAAAGTTTGTGATATTCCTTCCCTCAAGTGTCCAGTGGTAGCAACATAACACCTTGGCTTGAACTTGAGCCTGCCTTTTCAAATGCCTCTGAAGGAAAATAATAAATTATACACTTAGTGTAAAAGAACAACCCTGATGAAAAATTTAGATCTAATAGTTGTACTTCCTTGTGTGTAACTGTTGATTTTATCTGCATCTTTTATTTAAGCTTCATTAACCTTACAATAGGGAAAGTGGACATCTCTGACACAGAGTTGCTTATATTGGCTTAAAACCTACAGATTTAACCTGTAAATGTATATAGATGTGTATGTATCCTGAAAGATAGTGTGGTTTGTCCATATGCTACAATCCTCAGATAGTAACATCTCTATCTCTATTAAAACCCTGCTAATCCCATAATGCCCAATGCAAATCCAAGATTCTCCTCCCACCACCCAGTGACAATCCATCTACTCACACATTTTTGTACCATTTGTAGCACATGACTTGTATTTCTATTTAATCTAGCAATTATTTTCATGTGTACTTGACTTTCTCCCTTATTGAATGGTGTCACCTTGAGGATTTGGGCCACATCTTTTTTTTTTTTTTTTCAAAATCACCCAGAACACAGCACTATACACATCCAGCATTTGGTAAATATTTATTAAATTGAATTGATGTATATTTTAGAGCTAGAGCAATTTTGTCTATATCTATATCTCGAGGTTTTTTTTGTTGTTGTTGTTGTTGTTGTTATTGTTTTTAAAGAACTTTCAACTTCTAATTTCCTTGCAGAGCCATGACCAGGCGCAGACAGTATGGAGAAGTTGCTAATCTTCTTCAGGGTGTAATGAATGTTCTGGAACACTTCCACAAGTATATGGGGATTCCACAGATCCGGCAGCTTTCTGAAAGGTAAAATGTCACTGAAGAAAAGGTCCTCATTTGAGAAAAGATGGCATAGGAAGTGCTTAAGCCCTGAGCTCTACATGCTCATGGTTGAATCTTATTGTATGAAGCAACCTCAGTTGTTATCTAATCTAAATCTGTGTGATGTTGGGATCCCCCTATAATGCCACTTATAATGTCTTCTGAGCTACCTGTGTCAGATAGCTACTGTTGTATATATGCAAAATTCTTAGTGTCCACATTTGTGAAGGAAACTGTCCCAGTTATTTTCTTGTCACAAATAATCACAAAATCACAAAACTTGTTGTCTTGAAACAATTATTTTGTCCATGAAACTTGGCCTGGCTCAGTGAGAACTCTGTGCTCCATGCAGTGTCAGCTGAGGCAGCATGAGAGGGAATTGGAAGAACCAAGTTCATGGCTGATACATTGATGCTCATTGTCACTGGGAGCTCACTCAGGTGTGGACTGGGATCCCTGTTTTCCTCTGTGGGCTGCTTGGCCTTCCTCATGGTAAGATGGCTGAGTTCCAAGAATGAGCATCCCAAGAGAACTTAGCCTTGAAAGCCACATAGCATCACTTCTGCTATAGCCACAAGGCTTTCAAGGTTCAAGAGGAAAGAACTCTTCCCTTACCTGCTCAATTGGAGAATTGTTGAAGTCACATTGGTAAAAGAGCATGTAGGCTGGGATGTATGGCTAGGCAATTTGTGTGTGTGTGTGTGTGTGTGTGTGTGTGTATGTGTGTATGTGTGTATGTGTGCGCGCGCGCTTGGGATCAAGCCCAGGGCCTCACTCATGCCTGGTAAATGCTCTACCCCTGAGCTTCATCCCCAGCCTTACTGTGACAATCTTTAGAAAATATGCCACTAGAACTTCAGATATGATAAAATTATGACTTTCTCTCTAACTTTATTCTTTCCTTCCTACCACTGTTTCCTTTTAATCTCAAATGCAGATCCAATAAGAAGAAAGATAGATGCTTGTAACAAAGAAATATGAGGATTCTAAAGGAGGGTGAGGTGTGGTTAATTCATTGCCTTTTCTCTTAGAAAACACTAAGGAAGAGATAATGGTGACTGACAAATTCTAACCTTCCTTGCAGCAAAGAAGAAATGAAAGGGCAGCAACCATCATGTTCGAATCTCTCTCTTAGTAAGGCCTGACTGCAGCAGATTTTTTTCTTCTTCTTTCTTTTCCTTTTTTTTTTTTTTTTTTTTTGTATTGGTGATTGAGCCAGGGATGTTCTACTGTTGAGCTACATACCCAGCTATTTTTATTTTTTATATAGTCTCTCTCAGTTACAAGGCTAGTCTTGAACTTGCGATCCTCCTACCTCAGCCACCTGAGATGCTGGGATTATAGGTGAGCATCACTGTTCCTGGCCAGACTTCCCTTTTTCTAAATTTCTTTATATTTAATTATATAAGTAATTCATGGGTACATTCTCCTTCATTTAAAAAAGTTAAAAACACAAATGAGATTTAAGTTTCCTTTAACCGTACTTCAAATCCCATTACTCTTCCTATGGAGAGTGACTGTTATGAATTTAATGGCTTATCCCTCTGGAAATTTTTTTTTCTTTTTTTTGACAGAGTCTCATTATGTGGTCCAGGCTGGCCTCAACTTCCTGGGCTCAAATGATCTTCCTACTTCAGTATCCTAAATTGCTGGGACTATAGGCACACGCCCTCTGCCTGGCCCTCCAGATTTTTATTTGTTCATTTACATGAATCTATAGTTGCATTTTGTGGTTTTGTTTTAAGTAGATGCCTTTATACTACTTACTTTGTTCTGAAACCTGCTTTTCATTTTCAACCTAGCAACATATTTTAGGTCCCCCCCCCACACATTAATATGTATAGATCTAACTCATTCTGTGCATGGAATTCCAGAGTATAACATTCCACAGATTATTTAACCATTTTCATTTCACTATATTTTTCCTAATTTTTAAAATATACCTCCTTTCATACATATTCAAGTATTTCTTTAGAGTAGATTGAGTCACAAGATTATATACATTTAAAATTGTGATAATTATTACTTATTCCCCCTGCCTCAAAAAAAAGCTTTATATTTTTATGGTATCACCTGTGAGGACATGACTGCCTGCTTCCCTGTACTTTCAACAACATTTGATACTATCAGTTTTCATTTGTATCAATCTGATTGAAGAAAAATGTATCTAGTTCTGCTGCTTTTCATTTCCTGGGTTACCTGTAAGGCTAATTTTTTTCCTTTTGATGATTGATCATGTACATTTCCTTGGTGAAGTGTCTGTTTTAATTTTTAGGAATTCTTCTTCCTTTTTTTTTTTTTTTCTTTTATGATACTGGGAATTGAGAACCCAGGGCTTCACACATACTAAGCAATCACTCCACCCACTAAACTACATCCTCAACTCTCCTTAATTACATTTTATTTTGAGACAGGGTCTTGCTAAGATCCCCAAGTTGCCCTAGGACTTGTGATCCTCTTGCCTCAGCCTCCTAAATAGCTATGATTGTAGGCTTTTACACCACCATACTTGGTTGATTAATAGGAATTAATTATGTATTGTGGATAGTGTCCCATGATATCTAGGTAGATCATTCCTATAAAACCATTTGAGTGTATTACATATTTTAGATGCAGATCTTTGTTCTTTTAATTTCTTCTATGATAATTAGATATTTTACTTTTTTAATTTTTAAAATTGTGGTAAATATATATCATAAAATTTATCATTTTAACTATTTTTGAGAGTATAATGCAGTGACATTAAATACACTTAAATTATTATCTAAGTATCATCACTATCCATTTGTAGAACTTTTTCATAATTCCAAACAGACTGTGTACCCATTAAATATTAACTTCCATTTCTTCCTCTCTCCTCTGATTCTGTGAATTTGCCTGTTCTTGCTATCTTATATAAGTAGACTCAAACAAGATTTGTCCTTTTGTGTCCAGCTTATTTCATTTAACATAACATTTTCAAGGTTCGTCCTAGTTCTAGCATGCATTAATTCTCTTCCTTCTTAAAGTTGATATTCCATTGTATTTGCATACCAGATTTTGTTTATCCATTCACCTGTTGTTGGACATTTGGGTTGTTTATGTTTTTTAGCTATTGTATTTTTGGTATTTATCATTACCTGCTAAAATGTGAAGTCAATCTGATTCTTACACCTTTATAAGGTGATCTGTTTTAGTTGGTTTTTGTTTTGCTTTGGTTGCGTTTCAGATTTAGGGCTAGGAGGATTGGGGAATTTTTTTAATTTTTTTTTTTTTTAAAGAGAGAGTGAGAGAGGAGAGAGAGAGAGAGAGAGAGAGAGAGAGAGGGAGAGAGAGAGAGAGAGAAAGAATTTTTAATATTTATTTTTTAGTTCTCGGCGGACACAACATCTTTGTTGGTATGTGGTGCTGAGGATCGAACCCGGGCCGCACGCATGCCAGGCGAGCGCGCTACCGCTGAGCCACATCCCCAGCCCCGGGGAATTTTTTTAATATTTATTTTTTAGTTTTAGTTGGATACAATACCTTTATTTTATTTATTTTTATGTGGTGCTGAGGATCAAACCCAGGGCCTCCCACATGCTAGGTTGCCCTAGGACTTGTGCTCTATTGCTGAACCACAATCCCAGCCCAGGATTGGGGAATTTTATTAGGATACAGTCCTTTTTTATTTGTAGTGCACTATGCTTTTTATATCTTTAATCTAAAGACTTATATGTTTCTTTTTAATTTTTTTTTCCTACTGGGCAACCCACTTCAGTGCCAGCAGCCTAAAGGCAGAGGCCAGACAGTGATTCAGGGCCACAGTTTGCTCCGGCATGGGACACTATGAGAGGCCCAGGGGAACAGGAGTTTCTTAAGTTCTAAGAAATTGTTCTCTTTTATTCTTTTCTTTGAGTAGTCTTTATGATTTGTTCTCTCTATTCTCTCCTTGTAGAATTCCTATTACATGAATGTTGGAACTCTAAATTTGCCATATTATTTTTACTTGTGTGTGTGTGTGTGTGTGTGTGTGTGTGTGTGTAATATAGTGTATATATACTACTTTCCATCTTTTTGCCCTTTGGGACTGCTTTCTAAAAGAATTCCTCAATTCAGTGTTCTGTTTTAATTTGTTCTTCACTTTTGTCTATCCTGCTATTTGGCTCAGCTATTGACTTTTTTATTTAATAATCAAGCTTTTTAATTTCTAGGAAATCTAGCTGTTTTTCCCCCCATGGATGATAGCCTCTTAAATCTCTCAGAGAATATAAATTACATGTATCTGAAAGGTCTGAATTGCCTGATTTGCATGGTAACTCTCTTTCTTGGTGTTAGCATTCTTCAAATATGTGGTGATTCTTAGCTGAAAGCTCATTTTTTATTTTTGACATTCTCTGTTAGTCTGATCAGGAATGTTGTTTTACTGCCACCTAATAGTGGAGGAGAGGTGGGGTGTGCTGCTCGATTCAGTTGTATAACAGATGGCTCTTGTAAGGTGAGGTGCAGGAGCTGCCAGGTGGTTGTGCCAGGGGCTGATCTTCTGCTCTTGGAGGCTCCCTGTTCTTGGATGCTATCAGCAACTCTGGCTACTGCTGAGTTTCTCAGACCCAAGGGCCCTCACCCAGTGCCTGACTATGCATTCCGGATGAGGATGCAGACGTGGACACTGGCTTAAATGTTTCTATTGCAAGAGTCCAGTGTATCCTGCTGGAGTTTGCCTCAGAATCCCCTGCCGCTTCTGGTATTCACCACCTTCTTGTCTTTCATTTTTAAGAAGCATTGTTAGGCATTAATGTTTGTCTTTAATCTTGTCCCACCAGGAATTCTTCAGAGTGTCTAGTTTACCACCTCTTCTCTTGCTTGGTTCTGGATTTTTATTCAGATATTTTCAGATTTCTAAGGATTTGAGGCAGGAAAGGGAGGTTACAACATGTGCTCAGTGTGCCATCTCATAGTGGAAATGCCAAGAAGTTACTAAGGAATGTCGGAATAGAGCTTGGCAGAATACTAGGGAAATCACCACC